GAAGACAATCACAGCCCAGCCAATGAGAGTCAGAGCTCAACCAATGAAACAATCACAGCCCAGCCAATGAGACAATCACAGCCCAGCCAATGAGAGACAGTCACAGCCCAGCCAATGAGAGACTGTCACTGCCCAGCCAAGGAGAAGCCCCCGTGAAAAGCGTCCTTTTCCCCTGTTCTGGGGACTTGCCTATGGTTTGTTGTGCTGTAGCTTTTTTTTTCCAGGATTACAGGTCTCTGCTAGTCCCAAATAAATCCATTTTTGCTGGTAAACTAACTGGCAGTTTATATATATATATATATATATATATATATATATATATATATACACACACACACACACACATACATATATGTACACACATATATACATACGTATATACATACATATATATATGTGTATATGTATATGTAGTTTACTTATTTGAGACAGAGACAGAACATGAGGCAGGGAGGTCAGAAAGGGAGGGAGAGAGGGAGAATCCCAAGTAGGCCCCGCACTGTCAGCACAGAGGCCCACACGGGGCTTATCTCACAAACTGAGATCATGACCTGAGCCGAGATCAAGAGTCTGACGCTTAACCGACTGAGCCACCAGGTGCCCCTGGCAGTTTTATGTTTTAGGACTTTTATTAGGTTGGGTAGTTTCCACGTGTTTCTGGCTTGTGGAAGGTCTTTATCATGAAAGGGCATTGAATTGTGCCAAATGTTTCTTCTGCATCAGTTGAGACGATGATGTGTTTCCCCCGCTTTATTCTGCCGATGTGGTGCATCACACTGATGTGTGTGTGTGGAACTATCCTTGCATCCCATGAATCAACCTCACGTGGTCATGGCGTATGATTGTCTAACAACTTCTGAGTCAGTTTGCTAGTATTTTGTTGGGCGTTTCTGCACCATTGCTCATGTGGCTACTGGTCTGGGGCTCTCTTTCCGTACAGTGTCTTTGTCTGGCTTTGGTGTCAGGGCAATGCAGCGTCAGAGAACAAGCTAGGATGTATTTCCTCCTCTTCATAGGTTTCTTGAAAAAGTTTAAAAAAAACCTTTTTTTTCTTTTTTAACATTTATTCACTTTTGAGAGACGGAGAGAGACAGAGCATGAGCAGGGAAGGGACAGAGAGAGAGGGAGGC